CACACAAGTACGTGGAGCTCGCCAACTGGGGGCAGATAGTTCCCAGATAGAGTTGTCGCCGGATGATCAGGTTGCGGCGCCAGGTGAACGCACCCCACAGCATCACGTACGCCAAGATTGCACTATTTACGATTCGGGGCCTATCAACTGGGGCTGCTGCCCAGTTCAAAATTGTCCATTAACTATATTCTATATTGTGGCGCCAGCGGTAATCTTGTAAATTCTAGGCCTTGTGTATGTCGCAATGGCAATCAGCAGCGTCATCGCTGATTTCAAATTTTTGCCTTAACAACGCAAATATTTTGTGCTCACTCGGCATTGCATTCTTATCTCTGCTCCCTGTAATCTAATTTAAATTTACATGAATTTAAGGGTACTTGGGACTTCGAAGGGTATACTAGATTCGTTGAAGAGTATGTAGCAGGCAGAAGGAAGCCTTTCCGATCAGCACCAGTAGCCGAGTCGAACTGGCCATGTCCGTCAGTCCGTCCGTCTGTCCGTATGAACACCTCGATCTCAGGAAAGCCACAAAAGCTAGAATGTTGAGATTAAACACGCAGCTTCCAGAGACATAGACTCATATTTTGTTTCCAATTTCTACTGATATGCCGGAAAATGTTGAAATTTCTCGTTTGCGCTTCCACTAGCTGAGTAGCGGGTATCTGATAGTCGGTGAACTCGACTATAGCATTCTATCTGGTTTGGGGTCCGAATAGATACTGATTACCTGTTGCAAAGCATTATAATGGCATTCAAAAGTATCAATAAAGCCACTTGATGTCCTTTCTCGCATAGCGACTACTTTACATGACCTTATTAAAGCCAAATTAAATTGGCATAAGAATAATAATAGTTAATACCGTTTTGATGACCTTAAGACCTACTTGGTTTTCTATATTCAAGCTTTCGGAATATATTTCAATGAATTACGTATCATTACAGGTGCCTCCAACATTATAATCACTCAGCGGGGCTATCCCGACCAGAACTTCATAGTGCTGACCGATGACCGGGACAACGAACTTCTTAATGGCAAATTCCTGAAGACCTATCCATTGAAGTTCGTTTATGCCGGGGTCACCATGCAGTACACCGGATCCAGCAGTGTGGTGGAGCAGGTGAACACGACCTACTCGTGGAAACTGTCCCGTGATCTTATAGTACAGGTATGCCCGTTGGATCATCTACCACATGGTTAGTTGCAGTACTTATCCTCGTTTCCAGATCATTTCACTGGACGTGAGTCCGGCCAAGCGCCAGGACACTGTCCTGATGTCCTACTCCTACACCATCGACAAGCCGGCGGATTACGAGGCGGAGGTGGAGATCTACCGCTGGGAGATGCAGGCCCCGAGCAACTGCGATTCCCTCTGCGAGGGCAGGAGTCATCGCCTACCGGCCTGCATCAGCACCACCCAGGGCGTGAAGGTCGACCCACAGTTCTGTGACAAGTCCGCCATGCCCAAAATTGAGGATCGGGCTTGCAATACCGACTGCCGCCTGAAGTGAGTTAGGAATGCATTTTGCAACGTACTAAACTAAACTACATAAATCAACCTACCTGCAGTCTCACCGTGACGAGCATCTCGGAGTGCTCGGCCGCGTGTGGAGAGCTGGGCACCCGGGAGAAGACCTACACCTGCGTCCAGACATTCACGACTATGCAGCGATCCAATATCGTGGACATGTCCTATTGCAAGCTGAAGTTCGATGTGGCTTACCACGAGGAGTGCCGCGAGGGATGCTGGCTCCTATCGGAGTGGTCAACTGTGAGTTCAGCACAACATTTATTGATCGAAAAGGATCCTTCACTTACACTTGCCCTCGTAGTGCTCCAAGTCCTGTGGCGCTGGATCGCAGCAACGTGAGGCTCACTGCTACCTGCACAATTCCCGTGTCAGCGATGATCTCTGCAATCCGCGGACCAAGCCCCATCTGAGCGCCCTAATCAGGATATGCAACACCGAGTTCTGCCCCACGTATATAAAACCACAAGTAAGTCCCTGAAATCCCAGGCAATATTCCATGTGTAAGTCGCTGTTTCGTTATCCTACAGGATTCCCCGGCAGTTAATAACTGGGTGATTGGAGAATGGGGCCAATGCAATGACTGGTGTGAGAAGACCAGATCTGTGAGTTGCTCACATCCTTACGGAATCGGCTGCGGAGGCAAGAAGCCCAAGGACGTCCGCAAGTGCTGCCACATCAAGTACACCAGCGATTGGACAGACGTGAGTTGTGCCCATCGACAGTAGAGATCCAATAAGTTGCATTTCTCACCCTTCACAGTGTTCGGTGCAATGTGGCGAGGGCGTCAAGCGGAAGAAGCAAAGCTGTACCCGGGTCTACAAGCCGGATGTTCCGGGTACCCGGAAGCGGCGGGTGTACGTGGACGAGTCCTTCTGCATTAGCCGCAAGGTGCATCGCCCCAAGCTGCGCACCACCACCAAGTCCTGCAGGATCAACTGCAAGTGGAACGCCTCGGACTGGCGCCGTTGTCCCGCCGACTGCTCGGAGGAGTACCAAACGCGCGACGTGCGCTGCGAGACCTGGCAGGGTGACGGAGTGCAGGACAAGCACTGCGACGCCAAGAAGCGTCCATCCAAGCGACGCATCTGCAGCAACTGCGTGCGCCGGCAGTCGAGAGTCATCTCGCAGGTGAGTTGGCCCCTTGGAAAGCTGCCTTCCTAGACAGAGACTTACACTTCACATCCCCCACCAGTGCAACTGCGAGGGCGTGGAGAAGAGGCGGGACTTCTGCTTCAACTCGCACAAGGGTCGCATCGCCTGTCCCACACGCGCCAGGGTGGAGCGGCACAGCTGCACTCCGCCGGCACACTGCCGGAGGAGAAGTGCCATCGGGAGCAGCATCAGCAGCAGACCGAGGAGCACTGGCTTGAGTAGCAGCAGGAGCTTGAATTCAATTGGAAGTGTACGGCATCGCGGAAGACCGAAGAGCTGTGCGGACCTGAAGGAGATGCACGGCTACAACGAGGATGGCAACTATCAGCTGGAGGTGCGGTCGCGCATGGTGCACATCTACTGCCACCAGATGAGCAGCAGGACGCCGCGGGAGTATGTGAACGTGGATCCGCAGGAGAACTACTCCATCTACTACGAGTACAGGACGAAGCAGACCAACAGCTGTCCGCCGGAGTCGCGAGCCCACGAGTACTACAACGACCAGAACTCCGGCCGGACGCACTTCAAAAAGCTGCGGCTGAACATCACCGATCTGCGCATCCTGGACAACGACTTCCAGTTCGCCGACACGCGTGGCTTGCCCCAGAAGCTGGGATCAGCGGGCGACTGCTACAATCGCATTGGCCAGTGTCCGCAGGGCGACTTCTCCATCAACATGAAGGACACGGACTTCTCCATACGGCCGGGAACCGTGTGGCGGATGCACGGCCAGTACTCGGTCATGAAGCGTATCAGCGAGGTATGTCAGCCCAACCCAATCAGCAAAGTGTGTTATTGCTCACAGCAATCCTGTTCCCGCTTTCAGTTCGACACCACCGGGCAGATGCGAAGGGGATTCTGCGGAGGATACTGCGGCGGTTGCTACATCGCACCCGACTCTGGTCTTTACCTGGACGTGGCTGCAACGTGACCGAAGCCACTGAGCAGTCAGCGGGAAACTTTGTTTGACCTTCCCACGGTAATCGGGTCTACGTCCCGGGAAGGACCAAGGGTAAAGTTAATCCGAGCACCCCAGCATTTCAGGGTTACCCCAGCCAAGAATTACCACTACGAAGAGTCGCCGCCATCGATGGTTAAAAGTATTCTCGAATATTAGTTAGGATATGTAAGCCTTAGGAATCGTGACGAAGTCTGTATATATACTTATATTTCCCTCGAAATTAGTAACTAGATATTATTGCCATGTAATGTATTAAGTATTGTAAATACTAGAGGATGTGAGCCTTTAATGTAGCAAATAGGGGTATCCATATCCATGCTGTACACCATCATCATAGGTCGCCGCTCAGATAAGCCCGTATTTGTGCCGTATTGTGCCAAATACGCCACGTATGCAGTGATGGAAGGATCCTTTGCCTAGGTACACTCAATAATGGGTACTTTTTAGCTTACCAACAAATGCATTTCAACGATGAATAAGTTAACATACACTTACACCTTCCCCCACCTCCCACCATCTGCCCATCGGCCCATCTACCCATCATTATAATCCCCGAAAGGAGCCTAGGCCATAAGAAATGGTACTCCTCCATCACTCAGCAAGCGAAAACGAAGAGCTCGACTAAACTAGTGCAATGCCGGTTTGTACAATAGTTGTATTAGCTTAGCTCCGCGATTAGTTAGTTAAGAGGGAAGCTCGGAGCAAATGTATGTGTAACTAAAACGAATACTCATATTATTTAGGATACCCCGATCGCACAAGCCAAACCAAACCATTCATCGAATCGAATTAACACTGCTGATTGACTGTTACCACTGCCAGATTTTCAACGTTCAATCGATTGTATCCCTCATCGCCTAAGTCCCGGTACCAAGTATCCTCGCTGTATTTTCATTTAACTAGCTAGGCTAATGCAATGCAAAACCAATGTTAACAATTAATTTAATGTCAATTAAAGAAATTTAAAGCTGTTACCAACCAATCGTGGTTCGCACCTTCAGGGCTTTTCAGTACACGCTGGGCGGGTAATAGAAAAATGTATTTATTTAAAGTATTTAATAGTTGGAAGTTTAATGGAAGATATATTTGGCTTTCAATTCACTGACTAGGGTTAAAAGCTCCTCATATACATTTGATTGCTACGCGACATGGACAGTGGCGATTAGTTCTTCAAAGTAAAAATCCGCTGTGCCACTGCTGATGCCGCTGAAGTGGCCATGAAGGATGAGCTCCGGCAGCCAGAGGTTGCCGCTGATTATCTGTTGTGAATCTGAGTTGGATGATAATTGTTGTGCGATGGTTTCGCTGCTGGTGTCTATCACTGGGCGAGCCGAGGTTGTTGGGAAGCTCGATGGATGCCTTTGAAGAGCTTTCGCGGCGGGCGAAAGACTTAAAAGCACTTGCGGTGAACGATTCCGGGGCCGGACTCGTCGTACTCCTGCTTCGAGATCCACATCTGCTGGAAGGTGGACAGCGAGGCCAGGATGGAGCCACCGATCCAGACGGAGTACTTCCTCTCGGGTGGCGCGATGATCTTGATCTTGATGGTCGATGGGGCCAGGGCAGTGATCTCCTTCTGCATACGATCGGCAATACCTGGAAAAGCACACCAATCGGATGGATCGGATTAGGCATGCGTCTGGGCGCTGGAGCGGATGATTTATCTTACCAGGGTACATGGTGGTGCCGCCGGACAGCACGGAGTTGGCGTACAGATCCTTGCGGATGTCCACGTCGCACTTCATGATCGAGTTGTAGACGGTCTCGTGGATGCCGCACGACTCCATGCCCAAGAACGAGGGCTGGAAGAGGGCCTCGGGGCAGCGGAAGCGCTCGTTGCCAATGGTGATCACCTGGCCGTCGGGCAACTCGTACGACTTCTCCAGTGAGGTGGAGGCGGCGGCGGTGGCCATCTCCTGCTCGAAGTCCAGAGCCACGTAGCACAGCTTCTCCTTGATGTCGCGCACGATCTCACGCTCGGCGGTGGTGGTGAAGCTGTAGCCGCGCTCCGTCAGGATCTTCATCAGGTAGTCGGTCAGATCGCGACCAGCCAGATCCAGACGCAGGATGGCGTGGGGCAGGGCGAAGCCCTCATAGATGGGCACGGTGTGGGAGACACCATCACCAGAATCCAGCACAATGCCGGTGGTACGACCGGAGGCGTACAGGGAGAGCACGGCCTGAATGGCCACGTACATGGCCGGCGAGTTGAAGGTCTCGAACATGATCTGGGTCATCTTCTCGCGATTGGCCTTGGGGTTCAGGGGGGCCTCGGTCAATAATACTGGATGCTCCTCGGGGGCCACGCGCAGCTCGTTGTAGAAGGTGTGATGCCAGATCTTCTCCATGTCGTCCCAGTTGGTGATGATGCCGTGCTCGATGGGGTACTTCAGCGTGAGGATACCGCGCTTGCTCTGCGCCTCGTCGCCCACATAGGAGTCCTTCTGACCCATGCCCACCATCACACCCTGGTGACGGGGACGACCCACAATCGATGGGAAGACAGCGCGGGGGGCGTCATCGCCGGCGAAGCCGGCTTTGCACATGCCCGATCCGTTGTCGATAACTAATGCACCCGCATCATCGTCACACATCTTGGCAGCTGTTTATCTGGAAGGGAGAGGGTGGAGCCTGCGGTTAGCCCAATCCGCGATTACCTTGTACCCATACAAGTCTCGAAAATATGCTCTTAATAATGATTTTTCAAACTACCGCCTACACTCAATCCTTTAAATTCGAATGCCTTAGTGAACAGATGGAAAACTAATCACGAAAATATTTGATAAACATTAAACTTTCCGAGCCGTCGAAAGGGAAACTCTTTAGTCCGCACATTTGAGCAATTAAAATCAGGAAAAACTGTAGTATTTATTTGAAATTAGTATGTTTCATTTTCTTCTTTTGATTGTCTATTCTATTTCTAATTGGTTATTCACTTGAAACTAAAGCAGTGCTCTAAAAATATCCGAACAGAATAGTTCACAGAACTTAAATTAAACGGACCAATTAATTGAAAATTCGATTCGATGCAACTACTCTTCACTTTATAATTAGATATTGAACTTTAGAAGGTGAAATCCATCAAGCAATTCGAAACTTTTAAAAGGCGTTTTGATATCCCTTGGCTGTCCTCGCGGCTTTCTGTAATAATCCTTGGCTCCTTCGACATTGAGGTCGCACTCACACACCTTTAGGTCAACGAAAGGAGGTAAATTGATAAAGTCGCACGTTCGATTCCTGCTGACGACTAGACTCAACAACAAATGGCACGCCGATCGGTCTGTCCTGCCTTTATATCTGGGCTCTCGCTCGAAGCGATTTGAGTTGGATGCCAGGGCGGCACTGAGAGAAAGATTGAGCGAAAGTGCCGCGGAGCAATCAACTCGAATCGATCCATATAAGCCGTTTTCGGATTTCTGCTCGGGCATGTCAGAAGTTTGGGTGCCTGATTATACCAAGGCGACACATAGATGCGCTCCTCCAAAAAGGAAACCACAATTTAGGAATGATTCAGGAACAGGAAGGGAGGTTAAATAATTACTGTACCATATAAAAAAAGTTATTTCCATAGATATATTTTAAATGTAATTTTGAGTAGAAACTTATAATGAAATATAATAAATAATCTTTAAATACATCTTCGAATAAAATTTTATATTCATGATTGCTGAACATTGTGATAGTTTAGGAAAAGGTTAGACCATGTTCATATCTAATCCCTGACCATTATTAATTACCAATATAAGAATGAAGTTAGCCAGCAATATGAGGACCCCCATCATTCGTTGTAGGGAGTGCCAGGAGAGAAAGCTCGCGAAAGATTAGAGAACGACGCAGCCGAGTGATAAGTAAGTGATGTGCGTGACAGTCGGAGCATGGGCCACCTAAACGGCAATCAGCGCTCTCGAGTGGCCAATTAGCCCCATCTCCATCCCGATCCCCGATCCCTGCCCAATCCTGCTGCCCATGGGCCAGTGCAGCGGCGGACGACTCACGCGGCGCTGAGAGTTCAGAAAATAGCCACGGACCTTAGAAGGACCGACGCAAGACAATTGGCATCCGCGGCAGGGACTGGGAGAATGGGACATTTCAACGGGCACGCAGCGAGGCGAATCTAAAATAGACGCGCCAAGCAGAGCGGCACCTATAAATCAACATCAAGGTTGATCGAGATCTCCGCGCGCGGTGCTCGAGGAAGCTGCATCCACATTTGCAATAGCATTCTGCACTTTGCATTGCGGCGCCGTTGCAGCCACGAAGTTGCGAAATCACCGTGCCGACCATTTATCAGAGCAATTAACCATTGCCAGCCAGAACGAGGGAAAATGCATTTCGGCTCTTCTGTATTTTCTCAATCGAACTGTATTTATCCTTTTATGTAGATTTGATTATTTTTTACTTCTTTCTATTTACGCTTTTATTGCTAGCCCACATGAATAATCGAATGTGGTCGGGCTAAAGATAGGATCTGATTGCTCGGAAGTGAATTGGTGGCATTCCCAAAGCGTTTTATTTGGTAATTGCATTGATTGTCATCGTGTATTGAGCAAGAGGTTAGTGGCTGCGGACTGAATTAGTCAATGATATTTCATTTAACCATTGATTGGTCTGCCCACCACTCCGTTTTCAAAAAATTAGTTTCCTTTAGTTTGAAGTTTTTGATTTAACTTATTCCAAAATTTGTATTTCGGTTCGCCTATTCGGTATATTCCACTTAGTGAAAGAACTCTTAATTATTTGAGTGTTATTTTATGTATTTTCGGTTATTACTACCCTTTTTTAAATATATCAATACGAATTAAAAATGCTTTTACATTATATATATCAATTTATATTTGTATATATACGACTTCGTTAATAACTCACATTGTATTTGTATTGTGCGTAAGAATTTCCCACGAAAAATGTACTTTAATATTTCTTAGTCGAGACAAGAACCATTACCTGAAAGTGAAAAAATGTTTGCATACTTTTCGGCGGTAGCAAAAGCCAATTATAGATGGCGCTGCACTGAACCGCGAATGAGACGTATTTCACTAAACAATCTTTTTATGATAAATAATGTATTAAAATATATTATATATAATAATATATAATATAAAAAATATATTGAAATAGCTTCAGCACGGGTCCCTGAAAAAAAGCTCGACGAAACCCGTCTCCGTTGGCACCCAGCGTCGGTGAAAGACGCCAAGCGAAAGCCAAGCGACAGAAACGTGCTGCAAAACGAAAGACTTAAGATCCGAACCTGAACCTGAACCTCAAGCAGAAGTAGAAACAGAAGCAGAAGCAGAATGAGAAAAGCAAAACCGAGCCGAGCTCGAAAAAGAAAGTGCAAGTGGACGCAGATGCTTAAGTATTCCGTCAGCGGAGTCGGGCTTATTTTGTTACTTCGTCTTACCTCTGTGTTGGTGCTGGTTGTGTTGGTTTCACGGGCAGAGCGCACTGCTGGAGACCGAGACCGAGACCCAGACCCACAGCCACTCCAACACAACCACCACCACGATCAGCACGATCACCACGACCACCGCCACGGTAACCAGCACCACCACAATCACCACCGGAGGCAAAGCTAAAGCCAAAACCTGAGCCACGAGCGCGTTGGCGATGACGACGCCGACTGAGGCTTCGGCTGCGCAGCGGCCGCGCAGCTTGACCCACTTTTTGGCCCATACAATCAGAATGTTTCATGTTTCGATTTTATTATTTTATTTTCTGTTTCTCTTTTCGGGTATCTTTTCGATTTGCTGGTCAGCAACGTGTGCATGTGCACGAGTGTGTATGAGTGCGAAGTTACTTTTTCTTTTCTTGCAGCTTGGCTGCTCTCATTGTTCATGCTGCTGGCTGAAGTTGTAGGCCTATGCGAGATACGTGTGTAGATACAAGAACCATTTATTTATTTCGTGGCTTGACTTTCGAAAAATTGTTTTATATTTCACTCGCCGCTGCGTCGCTGTGCGGTGAAAAAATCCACTGCCAACGGAGATATTACTTTCAGATTCCATACTTGCTCATTAAAGGGGTAGCGGAAAATCAATCTGGATTGAGCATTAAGAATAACGAAACATCTGCTCATCCATGGCTGTCGGATTTTCGACTGCTGCATGTTGCTGTTGCTGCTGCTGCTGCTGTTGCTGCTGCTGTTGCTGCTGCGTTGCTGCCGGCAGCATGACATAAACTTTCGATTGTCTGCCCGTCACATAACTGTTACTCGTCTTTTGCCTCGGTTTCCCCACAGCTCCATCTCCATCTCCGATTTCCATTTCCATCGCCTTCTTCTCGTTCTTTGGGCCATTTCTTCTCCGCTACCACATCAATTTGGACTTTGGGCTTAAATGGGTAATTGGGTCAGACCCCGTTGACTGCTTTCGGGAAATGCTCATTTCACTTTAAATTCTTTGCCTTGTATATTTAGTTCGTTAGTCATACGGCCGCGGGCTCTTGTTCTTTGCGAGACTTTATGAAATTCGGAAATCTCTTTCCCTTCTCGGATTTTACAACTTTCTTGGCTTATTCTTTGCTTTGGCTGGTCTTTGTGGCTGGGCGCTTAATGCGTTTGGCATCGTTTTCGGCATCTTCGCTCGTTCTGCCTCGCCCTCTGCAGAGCTTCTTTGCCGTCTTCTTAATAATTTTATGTTAATTATTAAAAAGTGAAAATACGATTTTGGCTTTTGGGGTCTCGACTCTTAGCTGCATTAATCATTGGGCTGCGATACATCTTGGCTCGTTTCTTTTTCCCCCAGCAGTGCAAACGGTTCTGGCCCGGACGAGATTTATATAACGAACCGGGCGTCCAATTAAATCTATTAGCTCTCCTATTAACAAAGATCATCGTTTGGCAATAAAATGCGGTTTCGTTTTCAGTAGAAACAAAATATTCCGTTGCTCATTAGCATGTAAATACAAATTCGGGCCTATTAGTTGGTCGAAAGTCGTGGTCTGCGACACAAGATTGACCACTGGATGACTTATTGGGTCTTCGACAGGTTCTGCATCCCTACTTGCTGTGGAATACGGCATACTCGGTGTATCCGCAATGAAAAGATGATTTACATCTCTATATGTAACAGTCGATGGCTTTATCAGACAACTTTCACCTAGCTGGGCGATGGTAAAAGAATCGATCAATCGGCAACGGTGTGAACTCGCAAGCCTAGAATACTGCCTATACAACTCTACAACATTGAAATTCTCGTCGACAATTTATCAAGCTTGGGAAAATCTCGGAAGAACTAAAAGGCTGACAAATGCCGAGTAAATAAAGGCCTACCACTGTGCCGGCAGAGGCGGCAGAGAGGCAATTCAAGCCAAGTACCATGGCCAGGGGAAGTGCTGCAAACATCTTCTACATTAGAAAGTTTTCTACAACTACAACCAGCAGGGCAGCATCGCGCATCCGAGTGTAAGACAAAAGAAACAACTGTAAGTGCAGAGAGCCCCAGCCCCCCGAAAAGCACCCAAGACCCCCAGCAAACCCATTTCAAATGGAGCCTGCTGAAGACAGAGCTTTGCAACGCTCACTGCGCATGGGTAGACCAGTAGAAAGAGCAGTGCAAGTACCACTACCAGTACCAGTACCAGTACCAGTACTAGTACCGCCAGCAACAATGAGAAATGCAGCGGTGAAAGATTTCCAAATGCAACTCCATGCAACTCCATGCAACTGCAGCCCATTGGCGAGATGATTCAAGTTAATTTCTACCCGGCTCGCTGGGTGCTGCTCTCCACATTATCTATCCGGGGGCAATTAAACTATAATTAAGAATCTAATGGAGTTTCACTCTCCTTGTGCGTAATTAGCCGTGCGGTTTATGCAAAGAAAAGTAAAAACGGCAGCAACAATGGAAAAGCGAGCGGAATCAGATTGTCAGCGAAACGGGGGCCAAAAATGTGCGACAAGAAGAAAAAACGCTTAAATTATATAATTATAAAAAAAATCTTGACAAAAATAGACGAAAGTTGTAATTTTCAGCGCTTGGCAAGCCAGGGCAGCAGGGGGAGCGGGAAAAGCTGCTCTTAGAAGGCAGCGATGAAAGTTAAAGTTATAAAAGCAGCTCGGGAACGCACTGGAATCGAAACGATGGTAAGCTGTAAATAATTAACCATTCCGACGTTGGTGTGCGAGAGTGGGCTCCCAAGGCGAAACTCTTACTCGGAGCACATGGCAAGCAAAGCGCGGACCAAAACAAAAGACTTCAACGAAGAACCAAACTTGCTGTGGCCCGCCCGTGTGTGTGAGTATGTATGTATGTATGTATGTATGTATGGGTGAGAGAA